TATAAATAGACTAGTTGTCCCTTGTTTAATTTAACCCTTTGATCCCTAAGAGTGACTAGCATCTAATTTCTAACAACAATATCACCCCTGAATCAAACATTAAGGTGACAAGAATAAAGGAAATGATCACCAACTAAAGAAGCTCTTGATATTAAACAAATTCTCCTTGTCAGCAACTTAGGAAATGTGTAGAGAACAGTATAGAGAATATGCATACTGATGTTAGGGTGTAAAGGGTTAAAGCTTTTGTGCTTCAGTGAGGCCTTCCAGTCTGATAGATGTCACATTAGCTTCATTTCATAGTTGATAGTGGCACTTAACTAGTTCCTGGGAGGCACAGGTTAGAATCTCATCACAGTGCTCCAAGTTTTAATCACCATGGCAGGTGAAAAATATATTTGGTGGCTAGAATTTTGACAAAAGTGGCCACATGGTGAACCAACAGATTTGAAAAGAAAGGCAAGCACAATTTTTTAATGGCAACCATTTCACAATGGAAAGTTGCCAAATGGCAACTTTTTGAAAAATTGAGCTAAGAACCTTGTGTCAAAGCGAGAAAATTTTCACACTTCTTGTATGAAATTGCTACAAGGATCATTCCTCTACTTGATGTTCAACCAAAGTTCAAATGAAGTTTATGTCATTAAAAATTGTGTTCAAATTCCTCCTTAGGGAAAGAAAAACCCTCTAAAATTTCCCTCACTCCTGAAGTGTGGTTTTGTACATTGTAGCTCTTTTGGGAGTAGTGCCCCACTAATAACTGTGAGGTAGGGGTTTAAATCCTGTCAAGGCTGGAGTTTTTTCAGGCTTTCTTTCTGCAATTGCAAAAAATTATAGCTGACCTGCAAGGACCATTGCTTTTATTGACTTCAATTGGCAGCTCAAATAAAATTTATTTCATCAAAAATTGTGATAAGATATTGTCACATAAGGCTGAACAACATGAGGATGTATATAATATCAAAAGAGTTTCAAACACAGAACTGAATTTGTCAACCCAAGAACACTCACCCATTTATCTCCTGAACCAGGCAGAAATTTGGCACTGAAAATATTGGCTCTATGACCAGATCTGATGGAATGCAGCAACTGAAAATAAGATATTATTATACATATCAACACTGCACATAAATAAATGGAGGAGGAAAAAGAATATTTCTGACCAAACTTTTATTACAAGGTAATCTTAGTCCAAGGGTTTCATACTATCAACTTGTCCACTTCTTCCCAGAATTAATAAAAAAGAGTGCATTAAAACAAGTCCATTTTATAGTAGCATATTTTAACAAGATACAAAAGTGAAGGGTAAATCACAAGACTAGCTGCCCAATGCCTACTGGGAAGACCTTCCAATCCTCATCATCATTTTGACCTTTATTATGACAAGGGCTACACTACATGTAATTAACAATAACTGTTAACCCTTAAATCCCCAAAAGTGATTACGTGTAACTTCTCCCTTTAATATTCATACAATATTCAGCAAACACGTTATGAGAATACTCAAACGTAACAGATAGAAGTTTTACCTTGATGTAACACCACATTCTCGTAACATAATTACAAGGAAATGTGTAGCAGCTAGAGAGGAGAATTAACACTTAGATCTTGGGAGTTTAAAGGGTTAACCTCTAACAATTGTCCCATGTTTTCTCAGTGGAAAGTCTAAAAGATGAATACTATTCAAGATTTAAAAAAAAAATTCCTACTACACATGCCAATGAGATTATGACATAAAGTTGTACAATTAACCTTTCTTTTTGTTGGCTGGTAAATGTTAAGACGGCAATCATCAGCTCCAGAGAGAAGATAGCTGCCACTCTCATTCCAGGCTATACTGTTAACCTAAAGAATTAAGAAATTAGACAAAATGGTATTATCAAAAGAGAAACTAAGGGAGCTTGAAATTTATTACTATGTCAGACAGCTGTGGACCAGAAACATTTACATTTCAATGGAGCGTGTTTCTATGGAATTCTCTCAAGGAAAGCTCCAATTTGGTAGAGACTCCAAAACCAAAATTTTCTTGTTAAATATAAACCGAGGGGAATTCTTGTCAAAACCCACCAGTGGCAAAACTAACCCAAGACTAAAACTAAAGGAAAATGTTCTAGCCTAGTCTATTTGGACCTGGTTAGAAAACTACTGTGAACCCTTTTACTTCTAAGAGTGACTAGCATCCTCTTTCTCCTTACATTATCACTGTTAAAACAAACATTAACGAAATGAGAATAAAGGAAATGATCATGAATTAATTACAAAAGCTCTTGTTAAACAAATTCTCCCTTTCAGTACCATAGCAAATGTATAGCAAGCAGTATGGAGAATGTGAATACTGATACTAGGGTGTAAAGGGTAATTGAGGGAGGAACAGGGGGAGGGGAGGGTAAGGTAAGGGTGTATATAACTAGATGCCCTTTTAGTGTAATATATGCTTTTTCTTTTCCTTTTCTTTTAGAAAAGGAATAATTTTTATCCTGAGACACAACATAACACTGACTCAAAACTTACACAGCCTTCATGCCCCGTCAAAGCTGTTTCTTTCTGCAAGCACTGCAGCAGATATTTACTTCCTATCCAGGAAATGAGCAAAAATAGCGATTAATTAATTAACAGTATTTTATCCAGAAATCTATCCGAAGAAAAGATTTTCTATCACTTTCATAACTGATATCAGTAAATACACATAATAATTTTTGAACAGAGTGGTGGACAAAAAAGAAAAAAAAAAGTTTTCGGTGGGAAGCAAAACTGAAACCGTGCAGATGATTTTCAATTATTATTTTATCGATATTTTTCTTTCTTAAATTGGGCAAAGCTCATGGACAATAAAAAATATCCTTGGCTACATACAGCTGAGAGATCAATAGATCTATAAAATGTAAGCTTAAAATGTCTCCATCGCTCCATCAAAACAAAATCTGAAACTAATATTTTAAACACACCTCTCGCTCTTTTCATCAACATGCCCGGCGGTAAGTTACCATAAACCCTCCGTTGTAAATTGTGATGCAGAGTTGTTCTATTCTGCATGTTTCAGACGTTAATGGGAAACAGAAATTTATAAACACGACAACAGCGGGCCTAAATGGGTGACAGTCAAAATATCGCCATCTTGGATATGGTGACCTTTAACAGCTTGTGCGCATGTGTCTGGGCCCTTTTCCAGCTGTTATGCGCCCGCGATTGCATTATGTTGCTAAGAGGTTCGTGGCCAGTTTCACGCTTCAACTTTTTATCATGACACGAAGTAAGTTAAGCTTCAGAGAGTAGGTTTAAGTCATCGCGAGTTGAGGAAAAAAACTAATGCATGTCAGGGATGGATCCCGATCCGAAGGCACATGGGAGGGGGTGGCGGGGGGGGAGGGAGGGGGCTTCAAACCTTCGAGATTTCTTGGTATTTGTCTGACACCAATTTCTTGCCATGATACGTTAGCCAATTAACAGGCTGAAACACGCTTCAGAGTGAAACACACCTAGATAAATTCTACGTGTCTTGGTTGTACCTTTACTTTTTCTTAGCATCGTCCGGGGTTTTCGTAAACAAACACAGAAATACACAGGTCCAAAACGTATGTAACGCGTAATGAGAATAGAGGTTATACCGTCTCCTTACATTGGTTCTTAAAAGACTCGAGGCATCTTCGTTTTTGAAGTAATACCTACATCTTGTGAAAATATACCTTCACTGACCATTTTTCGATAGCGCCACCCCCGGTGAAGGGGTACTCGGGAAGAGGCTTCCCGGCTCCTTTGGCATGACGGGAGTCCTCTCTAGGGTTGCAGTCCTCCTCCTAGAAATAGATGGATATCTGTGCGGATCAGCCCAACGGGCTTTGGTTTTGCGGGTCCCTACCCTCCCCCCTACGACGTAAATTTTGTTTTGGTGCATTTTGTCGTCGTTTTTTCACAGTTCAACTCGAACTTTTGCGCAAGATTTAACTCAGGGTCTAACCCAATTGAAAACTCATGATCAGGACTCGAGATTATCCGAGAAGAACCTTGCTTAAGTTTCTCAAGTAACACAATGATCCACGGAGGTGAGCTGCGCGCGATGCAATTAGTTGCAGAGAAGAATCCTGAGTCAAGCCTGGATGGTTTCTTCACGAAATTTGCACGCTCTGCCCCTGTTCTTTAAAAATTCTTTTTTTAGGCGGATCTTTTCAACGTACGCAATTGTCGGCGCCGGTATGCATCCGCTTGCTGACGAGAGCGACTCGCTTGAAAAGAAAACAACTTTTATCTCTAGATTTGTGTAACACTTAAGCACGCACTATTTTCCATTCTTTGTTGAATTAAGGGTAAACAATCATGCGCAAAAAAAGAGCGGACAAAATTATCCTGCATTACCGATTTTTTTTACGGTCTGATGCACTTTATTAACCACTTCACTACGATAATAATTAATAATTGCGATAAATATCAATGATTGTACGTGCTATTGATAACAAAAATTTGGGAGAGGCTGCATGTTTGGAAACTTGAGGTAACTTGCCCGTCTGCGATCATATTTTTTAACGCTATTATGAATTGCTTTTTGGCGGCAAAAGAAGGTTATGCTCAGTCCTTCCAAAATAAAGTATCTTTTGACGTAACCGTTATGGTAGATGGCACTGAAATTCGCCTCAAAGGGCTTGGCACGTTAATAATAATAAACAATTGCGGTCTATAGTTTCCATTTATAGTTTACTTTGCGCCAAAAGCTCCCGCCCAAAAATAACTGGAACTACAAAACATGAACTTTCTTCAAATGTATGTTTCTAAGTGACTTGTAAGTAATACGACAAAACTTGGCAGAAATAGCGTTTCTCGTCAACTGACTGAGGATTAAGATAAACTATATCATTCAATGACCTAAGCTAACAGTTTGGCTGAGATTTTGTCCGCTTGATTGATTTTCCTTGCATGAATTAACAGAGTTTACATACATTTTCTGTTTGGCTACGCGAGTTGTTCATAATTCGTTTCATTCCAAATTTACCAACGAATTGCATAAGCGCGCGCCTCAAGAGGGTTGCCTTTTGAGCACTCAGGGAAACGTTTGTCTCATAGGTAGGTATTCTAGGAGATTTTTTCAATCTACTCGTTTGTGAGTCGGTTACCACTCAAGCCAGAAGGTAAAGTTAGTGAACTAAATATTATATTTTTCTAAAATTTGCTTTCATTGGATTGTGCACAAATTTTAATTAATTGTTTCTCTTCGGTTAAAACTATATGACAACAAAACCTCACATAGGGAAAACATAGAGAGGTCTACGAGGACTACTTTTGTTTCTGCTTTATTACGATATTATAGCCAATAGTGACGATTTCTATCTTATCCAAGTGTGTTCCATTCCATTTTTCCGACCTCTGAGGAATAAGGTTGAAGCACGAAACACTTTTTGATGATTTTGCTAGATGAGTACACGTCAATTCTTCTCGCCAAAATTTATCAGTTTTAAACTCGTTATGTTGCACTTAGCGCACAGATTTGCAACTCCGAATCTTGTTTCCCGCCAATTCGAGCCGCCAATGAACTCTCATTGCACATTATTAAAACGAATGATTCTAAACCTATTCTATTGAACTATTCGCCACTAGTTGACAATTTGTATTTTCTCTTTCTTCGCATTTAAACATTTCCAAGAAACAATGATGAAAAAATGTTTTGTTAACAAAAGTTTGAAGTACTGATCGAACTGGATCGAGTTTTTTTGTTATTTGAATCGGAAATTAGATTACGTACCGGATGCAACTTGTACCAACTTCTCGATTTGCATTAATACGCATAACACAAAATTTAAATCCATAAAATTTTATAAATTTGAAATACTGACATCTAAATTGGAGAAAAATTTTCGTCTTTGTAAATGTGGTCGCCTCCTAACAAGCAAGCCACTTTTGCTTGGTCTATGCATGTAATGAATTCGTTGGAAGGAAATTAGGATTTGAACAGTCACGGTCACACTGACCGCTTACAAAAAGTATTTGCATTGGAGTTTGTTTACTTGGCGATGTAGGAGCCCAATGTTTTTTTTTTTTAATTCTGCATGGAACGTTAACTGCATTATATACTTCAGACCTAATGAGGTGGAAAATGTACGTAAAACGATCACATTGATGCAAAGTTGTTTTGTAAAGGAGCATAATTATGCGATTGAATTTTCAAGCGGGATGTTGGAGGGTTTTGCTAGGGTCAACCGTTAATCGTCAAACGGTTAAATAGTCTACAATTTAGTCGTCCTCCACCTAAAAGAAATATTTTTTAGTTTTTGTCCGTCAAGTGTTAAGAATATTTCCCTGTAAAGACCTTAACATTAAGCGATTGTCATCGTTAATCGATGAGGATTGCATGTTTACACCGAGTTGAGCAGACGTAGTGGCGGCTGGCCAAAAATTTTGCTTCGAGCTATTGTTTTCATCTTACTCCACAAAATTCTTCCGTAGTTTAAAAAACTTAATAAAAGCTTAAAATAGAGCAAGTTTCACTTGAACATCGAAAGTGATCATAGTGTAATACCTTTTGTCGGTTTGTCGAGGAAAATGAGAAAGAACTACACACAGCTGAATCAAGATTATGAAGTGAGCTACATCCTATTGTAACAATAAATGGCTTGAGAGGAAATGGCAAACATCGCCAGGGAATTAGTATAAATCTATTAGCATTGCATCACAAAAACTGCAATCAAAAGAAGCTATGCTATATACTCGCTATCTATTTTGTTAGACAGAAATAGTGAGTGTAAAGAAAAAACGTCGCGTGACTTGTTCGTATCATTATTCCATAAAATATGACAGTCTTGACATGGTTTGATGCTACTCTGGTTAAACATTTAAGAGTTGATGACTGTAACCGAGAAGTTACAATTCATAGATTCCACGTTTCGACACTCCTGTCTAGAGCCTTCGTCTAGATCACCCCTGATGAAGGCACTACAAAGAAGTGTCGAAACGTTAGGTCTACGAATTGTAACTTCTAGGTTACATTCACTAAATCTTTAAACCAGAGTAGCATCAAACCATGTCTGATTGTCCACCTGATTGCCATGTGAACTTAAATATGTTTTATGACAGTCTTTTTATTAACTTTTGAACGAATAAGAGATTTATGATATAAACCATTGAATTTTTAGCTCCAGATTTCTAGTTAATTCGAGTATCGCCCTCATCAATTATCACGCGTCTGATACACATCTCAAGGCCATAATCAAATTCATTAACATAAGAACCTAACACTTTTTTTTAACTAATCAACCAATCAAAACGCGACCAAATTTTCCAATAAACAGAGCAAATTTTTTTCTTGCGCAGAGAAAGCAGATCAATAAATGTAGCTACGTAGATAATCCATCAATATCTTCAGATTTTAAAGGGCAATTTTTTTTTTCACGAGAATTAGCTTTTTCAAGTATTCGTGCGCTTCTCAATTTTTTTTACATCGAGCAGAGATGACCTTGGTCTTGAAGAAAACGAACCGATTAAATATAACCTACATCAAATAAATATTTTTTGTCGTGCGGTTTTTATAAGTATACAAATTATTTAAAGCAGTCTCGGCACATTTGAAGTATACAGTTTGTTTCAGGTTACAACTCTTGAAGGCCTTACCTTCTAAAAGATAAACCCGAAATCCATAGGCAGAATGCAATTTAGTTTTTTCATTTTATTTTTACTTTTATTTCTTCCTCTATTTTTGTTATTATAGACACAAGAATTTCTAGACCAAAGCGGATTAAATCGTATGCAAATGCGATCAAAGTTTTGCCACCCCCAGACCGAAATTCTTTCCAAACACCCCCCAAGAGGATAGTTTGATTTTGCAAAGCCCCCTTCGATATTTGCGGGTCTTTGTTAAAAACTTTGATTTATAAGCACAGACTGCACCGACCAGGAATATCCGGTCATAGTTGAGTGAAGGAAATGGTCAGTAAGATCGAAGAGCGAGACCCCTATATTATAGAACTGTGGAATATCAAGTTTTTAACAAAATTGCAACCTTAATGAGCTTTCGAGCGTTTGAGGAGTTTGACGAATGACAAAAAAGAATATTTCCGTTACAAATCCATAATCTGTCAGCAAAGTTTCGATTTATCAGCACGAAATGAATAAAAAGCATTTTTTTAGGCGAGTAACTGAAGTACTCAAATTAAAAAGTGCGTCGGCGGCGGCGGAAACGAATGTTCATCGAAGAGTCGTACAGGGGTTCTGACGGCTCAGTTCCGCTCTTCATTTTAAGAAGCTAATTTATGCCCAGCAGTGAAGAAAGGCGAAATCTTCTCAGCAAGGTATAGCATAGTCATCCGGTCTGCGATCAACAGGTACGTCTCTCCTTGAAAACCGAGCGGAAAACAGGGAACACCTCTGCGGATTAAAAAAAAAAAAATCTAGTTGCAATTGGATCGAAGAAGGCAATTACGTACCAGGGAAACGCAAGGTATTCTACAATACCATCAGTCAGGGAGACAACTCTCCATAGTTTTTATAAGGAGACAGTTTAAGCCAAAATCGCTAATAAGCGTCCGACATGTATTTTGAAACTGAGCAGGTTGTCTGAGTGTAAGCAGCTGGCTTCTAACACTTCATTGTTACGACTTCATATTTGTCATTTCGGAAAGGGGTTGGGGAAACCCTTACCTACCTCTCCTCCCATACCACTTTTGCCGTTTCAGTGCAGGACATAGCAGGTATATTAGGCGCATAGAAGGATGACAGAGATATTTCATTATGATAAATTGTATTTGTCGTGCATGTCGGATGGGGATGAGGAGGACTATCACCTACCCCTCTCCTCCCATCCCACTTTTGATTTTTCACCACAGGACATAGCAGCTTAAGAGAAGCATCGCATTGAAAAATAGTGTTACAAAGATATTTCGAAGAAAAGACATTTCGGTCGAAAAATGACGGTATCCCACATGTACTTGGTATTGCCTAAAATTAAAATTCTCCTTGTGTGATATAGTCAGTAAAAATACATAGTTGTTTGCGACCAAAAAAATTCCAAAAATTTGGGGCACCTGCAAAATATCCGTCAAAAAACTCGTTAACTGCTAACTGTAGTCTAGCCAACGTCCCCCCAAGTGATGAAAAACTCATTAGAGCATATTCATAAGAAGAATGCTCTAGATAATTGCATCATTATCATCATCATTATTATCGTTACATTTCAGACAAACAAAGTCAAGTGTTTATCAAATCACGACCTTTGATTTTTAGAATCAAATCCCCGAGGAAACAATGCTGTTGGCTTATCTCGTTGTCCTGTGTGTGACAGGTAAGGGAGGGTATGTGATTAAAATATCAAATTTTCATTCAAAATGTAAGGAAACTACGGGGCCCCTTAAGTGCCATCCAAAAGTTTCACCCTCCTTTTTCTTCGCGACTTTTTTTTACCCTATTTTTGCTTGCGACTTTTTTTCCGCGATATGTTTTAAGTGACGTTTTTTTTGGCGACTTTTTGTTGCGACTTCTACCGAGGGCTCAGAGCACGGTACGTGCGGGAAAATGGCGATTTCAACATCATCGTCAACGGGGGGTTATAGGGTTATGCCTTCTGCGTAATCCCCTGTGAGCCAAAATTCTCTCCAGCTGACGCAGACACAATGCCGTGCGAGAGCATAAGGAAGGCTAAGATTTCACGATGTTGAAGCTCAAGCTTAAAGTAACACTCGATAAGGTCATGCCGCTCTACGTAGCCTGGCTGAAGTACAGGTACATATTGTGGAAGGAGTGCTTTAAATTGGGGCAATAAAGCAAAGATAATTAGGAAATTTGTTTCAGTTACTTTAAGCAGCTTCTCCTTCGACGCCATGTTTTGCATGTGCCATTCGTCTCTGAGCTTACGGTGACGTTTACAGGCGGAAAAGTCGCGAAAGAAAAGTGTTGAAAAAGAGTCGCGAAAAAAGTCGTGGAAGGAAAAAAAAAAAAGAAGAGTGTAAGTTTTGGATGGAACTTGGGGCTCCGTAGGAAACGCTTGATTTTCATTTCTGAAATACAATTTTTGGGGTGGTAAGACGACAGTGCATTTTGATTTAAGTGCTACAAAATCAGTAGTAGACACTTAAATGACAAATATATTTATTGTTATCATTATTTGAAAGTAAAACATACAAATTATGACCTCTGAAGAGGGTGACCCTAAAAGC